TTCACAGACTTGTCCATATCTACGGTTTTGTCCTAGAAAAAGTCAAAATTCTCGATGATAAGGTAGAAACAAGTGCACTATTTCGAGTCATCTCAGCCCTTATGTGCCGTGTCGGATTCGGTAATCTTTCTAGCTTCGTAGTCCTTTTGGCTAAACCTAGTTCCAGTAGCCACTTTTTCCAGTAGGATCCACAGAGTCATCAGACATTCGTTTGCCTGAAAGAGGTGCATCCATCTCCTCACCTTAGCGACATCGGCCTGTGGTTTTGCAATGGTATCCTCGTAATGGTGTCTATCAGCAGCGGCAACTTCTGTTTTTGTGGAAGGTAATTCAATCTTTTCAGTAGTGATGCTGGTACTTTTAGTAGCTGCTTTCGAATGTTGGACCACATCTGATTGTTCCTTTTTCTGTTCGTCGACATTCACAGATTTGTCCGTGCCCGCGTTTGTGTCCTGCAAATAGTCAAGCGTCCCAATGATAAGGCACAAACGAGTGCGCTATTTCGAGTAATCTCAGCCTTTATGTACCGTCTGAGGTTCGATAGTCCTTCTAGCTTTGGTGTTCTTTTGGCTAAACGTAGTTTCAATAACTACTTTTTTCCGTAGGATCCGTCGAGTTGTCAGACATTATTTTGGCTGAAAGAGTTAACAAAGTATGAGCTTCTTTCTGTTAGGAGGCAAGCGGAAACAAATTTCATTGTGAGATTCTAAACTAAAACTAAAATTATACTTTTGTTCGAACAGAGATTCGAATGCATGAGGTTAGCTTCGCAGGATAATCTAAAACTAGATTCAGTATTTTGTGTGTTTATTCTGTACAACGATTGAAGTTGTGCAATTGACTCGATGTTAGCAGTAGGATCCGACGGGTCGTCAGACATTCGCGTGGCTGAAGGAGTTGCATGCGTCTTCTCACCTTGGCGGCATCGGCATGTGTTTTTGCAATGGTATCCTCGTAATGGTGTCTATCACCAGCGACAACTTCTGTTTGTGTGGAAGGTAATTCAATCTTTTCAGTAGTGATGCTGGTACTTTCAACAGCTTCCGATTCTATCATATCTCGTTGACGTTTCTCAGATTCCGGCGGTTGTTCAAGGATTTTCTGTGCGGAATCAAGTGGTATTTTGGTATTACTTAAGTTCGCGAGTTTATCTGTCCGCCTCTCTAGTGGTGGTTGTTTTTCTTTTTTTTCGGGTGCTTTCTCGTTCTGAATAAATGGTTGTTGAATGGATTTTGCAGGATTAGAAGGTGTGGTTTTTGCGGCGATGGATGCGCCTGTATCTGGACCCGACTCCCGCTGTTTGTTTTGTTGGCGGTCGGCAATTTGAACAAGAGGCACTTTTGAGGCGACACTTGTTGCCTGATTGTCAGCAGGTATAAGTGCCTTTTTATTAGGCTCCACTTGGCTCGGATGTTGCTGAAATTTCTCCGTTTCTATCGGTTTTTGTTCCTTTGCATTGGGCCTGTGTGGATTTTGCAGAGGTAATTTTCGCAACTGTTCGCTATCCTTCACAAATGGCGGAGATTGCTTGAGCTGTGCCTGCGATTTATTAGAGAGAAGATTATTAGTTTGTGTACTCTTTTCACTTCTGTTGTCTTCATGCTGTTCCCTTACTTTGTGGTTATTATTCACTGTATTTGGACTAATGTTTTCTGATTGTCGTTGAGATTCTTGTTGTTGTTTTGCAAGCACTGTTTGAAAGTAATCATCAGTTTTAATAAATCGAAGACACTGCAAAAAGTGTTTAGAAGATATACCGTAGAAGTTGTGTGGGCTTGGTTGATTGTCTGTCATTGCATGATCATTCACCGACTGAAGAGTTTGTTGTTGCAGGTTTTCAAAAGATTGCAGTGCCCCCTCTTCTTCATACTGTTCAAGCATTTGACGAAAATGTTCTTCTTCTTGAGCATATTTCTCTAATTGCTGTTGATAAAGTAGTTCCTCCTGCCTTTGCTGTTGCTCCGAAGTTAAGATTAATTGCTCATAAATAGATGAAGTTTCTGACATAGTTCTCACAAATGGGTGTTGTTGCTGTGGTTGATCGATGACTTGAATCTGACTAGGTTGAACGAGGTATTCATCGTTTGACGACGAGGGAGAAGTTGTACTCTGTGTGTTGGGAAAACGAGTTGTTAGTATTCTCACTGGTGATGTATGAGTATTCACTCTTGCAACGGTACACCAGTCGTGAGGTGAGTCTGTTTGGAGGAGTCCTGTTGATAGGGGTATTTGCCTACTTTCAGATGTATGTACAAAATTGCCAAACGTTGGATTATTGTTACTATTCACATTCCTGTTAAATGCTTGTTGTTGTGATTGTTGTTGCGCATTGAAACTTCCACCATCAGACTGCTGCTGTTCGTACATAGTTTATCTTCTTTTGTGATTTCACGCTTTTGGCAATCTTGGAACCAGAGAGCTAAAATCGGATAGATACGTTGTGAAAAAAAACCTTTCTAGGCAAAAAACGGTCAAAGACTTAAAATTTATTTTACTCTCATTTACTGATCGAGTCATGTGTTACCCAAGCGTTTTTAAGAAAAAAGTTTCTTTCGAAAAATAGCCTTGGGAGGATGGAGGTCGCCAGCCAAAAATTCATGGACTGCACAGCGAACAATTTTCTACAAAACAATTTCGCTTCATGGTACTATATTTGAAAGCTATTTTTAGCCAAATGTATTTCAGTGATTGTTAATAAGTGGAATAAAAATTCTTTTTCCAATAAATAGTCCAAATATTAAAGTTTATTTTCCCGTATTTAGGTCGAAAAACAGGTCATTTCGATTCGCGAAATAACCGAATATATACGCACTTTCTTTTGGAAAGGGGCGACACTCTCACTTGTGCAAAAACCAAACGCCTAATTTAAAAATTCAGATCCATCAGCTCCGACCATAGATATTAGCTACAAAATAAAAAATTTGTCTTTTCCTATGTATCTTAACCGTCAAATTACTGGAAAGAAAAACAACTATCACTCAAAGTACAATCTCTGAAACTTTCTAACAATGATCTCAAAGAACCGCATATGACATCTTATTTTGAAATGTGCATGAATGATGAAAAAGTTTTTCGAAAAAGCTGTTTTTTCACGGTTTCTACAATACATTTTTCCGTAATACTCAACAAATTTCATGATCGATAAAAGCAATATGGATCCCGCGAGCAGAAAATTTAGGCTATCCGACGACGTATGTATGCAAAAAAATTAGTTGTTTTTCACCGATGACAACAGTCGCACTGTGTACACGTAAATAAACTTCTTCTACACTACTATATCTGTCATATCAGTTGATGAAATTAATAATAATAATGAGTCTCAAAAAGTGTGTGAAACCTTGTAAGGTTCAGCAATCGTACACAAAAATCAGATGAGTAATATCATGTTGACCGTATTACGCGACGACTCAACATTTCAAGATAAAATCGAAAATGTTCTGCAAGAACATGACAACGGCTTATCAGAATGGTTTATCCAAATGTGCAACACATATTCTACTCGACTTCTCAGGGGATTTCTAAAAGTTTTCAAGTTAAACCTGTGAACAATTGGGAGACATCTTATTCAGAAAGACAATTCGCACAAAATAATTATAGTTACACTGTTGGAGGTAGAAATAGTTTTTGAAGTGAAAAACGACGGCATTTTAGTCCGAAATAGAAATCCGTATTTACCTCAATAAGAAAAGGTCATGAATAGTCAAGAGTGATCGCATTTTATGGATAAATCTTTGATGTAAAGTGTAGTATACTTATTTCAAAGTTAAAAGTTTTTTTCTACATGAGGTGTGTATCCTGAAGTTCCGTTTGCCTGTGTTAGAAATAAATGTCGCTTTTCGTCAAAACTACCGAACTGGATGATTAGACTGAAATTTTCTTTTCCATCAAAAACAAAATATTAACTGCCACTTAAGCATAAAAGGACTGATAACTCTTGTTGCGTGAAACAATTTTGTTAAAAAAATTTAAAAACATCCAGATCTACACACAGCTGAATTCTCTATTGATCTGCAGTAAAAAGAGAACAAATTGAGATGGATTTCTCTAATATTTTAGATCGCGTCCTTTCGTCCAAATGAGCTGAAACGTAACTATAGATGATGCTTGGTGTATTTGCGGTTTGGAAAACGGTCATTATTCTTGGACAATGCATCTTACGAATCTTACAGACGTTCCATTTTGAACAGATATCTTACTCTTTCTTGTCATATGCTTAACCCGAAAAACGAATTTATAAAAAGATAACGTCTGACGGAGGCATACCAATCTGTCTTTTCTTCAAGGTAGACCTGTCGAAGTCTCTTTCTTGCGTATTTCTAAAGAATCGCCTATATAACAGGACCATGTAGTATTCATCTAAACGGAAAAATTTTATTTTGACAAAACACACTGTATGTCAAACGGAATCTTGCTATATAATATACTCTAGCAGAAAAAACATTGTGTAGCTAGCTGAAGGTAGCTCCATGATTTTTTTTCTGATAGGCTATCTCGGCTCCGTGCTTTCAAACAGTTGGCGTCAGGGAGAAAATAGAAAATTTCACCTGCTCGAATGCCTGTGATGAGACTTATGCAATAAATTTTGAAAACAGACAACAATTTACCCAATTAAAACCCAGTTGAAAATAAAAACTCGTGTTAGTCCAGCAAATCAGATGAGACGTCAGGCAATTCATACCTTATTTTGAAATGTGTATAGTATATATTAATGTTTATGATATATTTTGAATGTGTATAGAAACAAAATCGATATTTTCTTTTTCTTTTTTTGAAACACATACCCAACAGAAAATAAGGTTAATAATTATGTCATTATTATTATTTTCTTTTCTCTTTTCTACCCGTTTTTTTCTTTAAAAGTTTCGACTTACCTGTAAAATAAATCCATCGAGCTGTGTTACCATTATTATGTAGCGTCGGTATGGTTCATCGATTTTTGTTTTGTTATCGTTGTACTGATAGATAGTATGTGGAGAGATACGTGTCTTTTTATATGATAAACGAAAAATATATATATTTTTCATTAAAACACACACAACACACATGTAAGGGAGATACATTGTATCTGTATGTGAAGGTCCCGATTAAATCTAATAATGGTTGTTTTTATCGTTTACATAGCAATATGTATTGCTAGCACGTGTATGTAATAACAATCCTGTGTACACAACAATCATTGACTTTTTTTATTTTCAAAAAACTGAACCTTTCGATTACGATCTGTAATCAGCTATAGTTTATGTTAACTCACTTTTGGACTTGTAGAATAACTGAATAAACAAGACTGCATGAAAGTGTTTTAGTTTTTATAATAGTCTATTGAGACTTAGATACAGATTAGTGACTTGCATCTGCTTATAAAAGATTATTGTCCATTAAAGAAAACAATGCACTTGACCGTTTTCTGAATAACTTTTGACAGAAAGCAGCTAAAGAGTTCCGGTTTTTAACGTTTGAATTCTATCTGGCATCGAATCGGAAAGCTGTTCTGTGCGTTAAGTGTTTACATTCGCATATCCGACATTCAAATTTGTACTACAAGTCTAAAAGAGGAGTTAGGTGAATGGATGAATATTTTACTAAGCTATAAGTTATTATCGGTAACGTGTAATTTTTATAAATTTGGTTGAGGACTGTTGTTTAAAACACATGTTTGTGTGAATATATTAGAAATACATTTTACTGCATCTGTTGTGAATGCTGTATGTTTCTTCCAGTTTAGAATACACGTTAAAAACAATTCTAAATGTCTGTAGCATTCAACTTCCATTCTTCTTAATCGTAACTGAACAGAATATAGAGTTAAGGTCTTTTTTTTTGCTAAATGCCATGCTTTCACATTTTTCAATATTTAAATTCAAATGGACCATTCATAGATTAGTTCATCATCAGTAATTAAAATGTTAGTGGCAGTTGATAACTACTCATGTCAAAATGAAGAAATACATCGTCAGCAAATAATCTTCATGTTAAGATAAGATTAAGAACAATATCATAGATAAACATCAGAAGATGGGCCATATATAAAATGTTAGCTTTTACAGTGTTCTCATACAGAAAAGGTAGTAATATTGATCAATATATAATGTTTAAACTAATATGTCTAAACAAGATTTAATTAGTATTTTATCTAAATTATTTGATTATTATATAACCTAAAACAGTTATTATTTAAGTTGAGTGTGTTAAAACACTATATTTTCGGTTAATGCTAATTTACGGTTAATATTTAATCATATCAAGCATCATATTATAATCGTATTAGTTCTAATTATATTTGCTTTAGTTAATTGTGTTATCATTTGATAAGCTTTCTCCTTGTCTCATCGTTATGATTGACCTTGTTTTATATAGTATTTACAATAACATACCTTATTTCATACCATTCACAAAACAGAATATGTCTATGCGTAAAAGTTGAACCTAAGCATAATACAAAGAAAAAAAAGAACATAATTACCACATTGAATTGGAAGAAACAAACAATTCAAAATATTTCTGTTATCTGACACAATAATGGATCATAATCACCATGTATTATATAGTAATTGCTGTGATAATATATTTAATAAAATAACATAATATAAGATAATATTTAATATCCGATATCCAATATACAAGATAATATTTTGTTTGATAGGTTTAACAGATTAGATACATGGACAATTCTCAAAATTTCAGTGTACCGGGTGTGAAAAACATTAAACAAGAGAAAATTTATGAATAAAAACATAACACATACATTTTGTTGTGCTATTTGAGAAAATTAGCACAAAATGCAGAATAAAAAACGGAAAAAAAATGGTATTTTATCTTTACTATCGTAAGCGAATAAATGGTCGCAAGGGAACTCCATTTTGACCAGGCAGTCAATATTTTGATTTTTATTTCCTGAGGAGACACACTATCACACCCATTATATACACTCTATCCAGCAGAAAAGACATACCACTTCTTCTTGTTCTTTTGCGAGACAGGACAAATTGGATTTTGTTGAGCATGTAACGACGCGTTTGGACCGATGCTCAACGGTCTCATCATGTGGTCTCAATACTCTTCTGTTCATATGTTATGAACTCGAACGTAAAATACGAAACGCGTGCTCAAACAAAATTCAATCCGTCCTGTCTTGCAAAAGGACAGGAAGAAATGGTATTTCTTTTCCGCTGGATAGATTTTATATAATGAGTGCGATTGTGTGTCTCTTCAGGAAATAAAAATCAAAATATTGACTGCCTGGTCAAAATGGAGTTTCCTTGCGACCATTTATTCCCTTACGATAGTAAAGATAAAATACCATTTTTTTCCGTTTTTTATTCTGCATATATTATGTACTAATTTGTTTTGATAATATATTTAATAAAATA